AAAAAAAAAAAAAAGTCGAGGCAGGTGGCAGAACCACTGGGCTAAATCCCCAGCCCCCGTAAACAACTTTTTGAGTGGGCAGTTATATAAAGGTTTGAGAGGTCCGATGGGAGGGATAATGTTGATAGCTAAAGTTACTCTACATGGTTTAACTAAATACAAAGCTGACACAGCAAGATGTTAGAAAAGGGAAACCCTTACAGTTTAACCTAAGTTCTTTCCTAAAGATGTTTCTGAATCTCTTGCAAGCTGAAAAAGCCATTTTGTAGGGCCAGGGGTTTAGCTCAGTGGTTCCACACGCCTGCCTCAAAAGCACAAGGTCGTGAATTTGATCACCAGTACCAAAACAAACAAACAAACAAACAAAAAAAGCCATCTTGAAAGATGAGACATATTGCCCCCACCAGCGACTGCAATTCTTTCAGCTTCCTATGCTGTGCAAGCCAAATTTGGAGACTATAATAAGAGATTCATAAACCAGGCTCCATGGCTAATGACAGGCTACTGTACTACCCCAGCATGTTCACAAACTGACAAAAGAATAGTGGGAAGAAAGAACACAAAACTGGCACAAAGAACATAGAGGAATACCAAGGGAAGATTCAATGGGATACTGCACAAGATCTAGAAATACATGGCATCAACTATTTTGAAATAAAAAATAAAAAAGGTACTGAACTGCAGCTAGGCATTGATGCTGTGGGTCTGAATATTTATGAGCATGACAACAGAAAACTTTAAGATTGAATCTTGACTAAAAGTCTAAATGTATAATCACTAAAGACATTAATTGAAGCAGTAATCAAAAATGCTTCCATCAAGTCAACTGAGGATTCCTGATCCAGCTACTTGGAGGTTGAAACAGAAGGACCACGTTTAAACCCTGCTTAGCAATTTAGCATCGAAGGCAGATCTTACCACAAACTTAAAAAAAAAAAAAGGCTGGGCTGTAGTTCATGCAAAGACCCTGGGTTCAATCTCTGGCAGCATAAGCAAGCAAAGAAAATTGCCCTTATGTGCAGAGCTCTGGGTTAGGGTAAAGGTTATGTCTGCACTGCAAAACCCAAAAGAGCAAACAAAATTGCCTAGGACGTTCGTGGCCCGGGGTTCAATTTCTAGTGCAACAAAACCCAAACAAATAAGCAAATAAACTTCATGACCCACCAGAGCATGCACACCCACCAACTCACAGCTCACGAGGCTGAGGGAGAAGAATCGCCTGAGCCCACGAATTCAGAGCCGGCCCACAACATAGTGAGACTCTCAGACAAAACCAACCACTACACACTAATCTCTCCCACGAGAATTAGTCCAAAAAAAGCCATGACCAAATCCCAGCAAACCCAAGTGCACATATTTGGGACTCCCCAACTGCCGAACCCCCACATCCAGCCACATCGCTGGTCTCCATTTCCTCCCTTTCCTCCCTGTTCCTCTGCCCAGCATAACTTCACACACCAGAAGCCCCACGCCGTGACGACCGCAAATCACAGGCAGTGCGCCTTGATGTGGCGGCCACCGGCTTCGAGATTCTTCTCAGCCCTCACAGCGCATGGCCGCCAAAGGACACCTTGACAAGCGTTCGCCCACCACGTGGCCAAAAATGGCACCTCGAAGAAGCCTCGCGATCAAGCCCGTTCACCCGCCCTCCCGGACAGTCCAGCCCGTCCGACCGTCCGTCCGACCTTCCGCCCGCCCGTTCACCCGCCCGTTCACCCGCCCTCCAGGACAGTCCCGTCCGTCCGACCATCCGTCCGACCGTCTGCCCGCCCGTTCACCTGCCCTCCAGGACAGTCCAGCCCGTCCGACCGTCCACCCGCCCATCCGTTTGCCCTCCCAGACTCTCTGGCCAGTGCAGCAGGCCCATTCTCCCGTCTGCCTGTCCTCCCATCCAGCCATCAAAGGCTCCCTTCAGAGTCTAACCCTGGGGACCGACCAGTGCCCTATGTGGCCTTTGACAAGGGGCCTTACGTGGAGCTTGCGATGCATGAGGTCCTGATGGAGTGGATGCGCAGGCGGCTGGCTATGTCGCGCAGCACCTGCAGAGTTCCCTCATTGGGCCTGTCCTCTTCGGGTACCGGAGCGCTTCCGTCCCCTTGGGACATGGCCGAGTCCTCAGCGGTGTCTGCGGAGCAAGTGCTGCGGTCCGGCTCAGCTGCGCCGTTTTAAAGACCAACACACAGCCCCCACTCCGGGAGATCCCTCCGCGCAGACACCCTCCCACCCCCGCCCCCATGCCCCACGTTAACGCACCTCTTCCTCTGCGCCTGCAAGTCAGTGGGATTTGGATACTTGTCACATGCAAATTTAACATTATACACAATCATTCCACTTCTTTATATCTTGCATTTTCAATCCCAAAAGGGCTCCCTCTGAGGGTGGGTGTACGGTCTCCTTTTCGGGTGATAAGAAAGTTCTGGAAATAGACGATCGTTGTGACTTGAAGCGGAGTGATCGAATCAAAGCCGCAGCACACAGTGACTCAACAATCAGAGGCACCACGTGGATTCTGACCCTACTCCTTTCTAGAATCTTCTGTGAGGCGAGACTGTTGAGTCGCAGAGGTCGCCTGAGCACGACGCCGGCCTATGATTTGAGCGGGGAGCCTGCTTTCAGCAAGCCTCTGTTTCCGTAGAATGTGCTCCCTTTCTGTCTGAAATGCCACGCCTTGGGTATGCCTTCTAGCTAACGTCACGATGTCAGCCTTAGAGATTTTGCCGTGACTTTGCGCCGGTCTTTGCCATGTGTCCCACTAAAGCCACTTGAAGTCCAAGCCCCACATACTAGCTTGGAAGGGCCTTGAGCCCGCACCCAGACCCAACGGCCCCACATTCTCGCGGGGTCTAAGGGCGTTCATTTAAAAATTTCGTAGATGGTGCCGCGAGTTGCGCAACAAAAAACTGAACCTATTTAGCCTCTTCTTAATAGAGTACGGGATCGCTGACTTCCTCAGAGCACTGGATATTAGAAGTCTTTTTAGTTATTTTAATGAATGAGAAAATACTATTTAATGAATGCTTTCGTATACAAATCACTGATCATCTTGCAGTGGTGCATTTTCCCCCAAATGTCATTTGCGGTTCATCCTATTCCATTGGTCCGTTAACATTCTTTCTGGTTTTAATTTTTTGTATAGGATTATTTTAGCATATTAATTTGTGAGAGTTCCTTACATAGAGTATCATGTCAATTAGCCCTTTGTCTATTACAAATACTCCCCAAGTCTTTTTTTCTCAACCTGCTGCTGTTTTTAATGGTAAAGAGAAACTTTATTCTTAAGAAAAAACAAGTGTTTGCACTAAAATCTAACTGTTATTTTTAATTTTGGAGGTGTCTTCGCCATACAGAACACTATAAGAATTTTTGGTAATAAGGTATGTGAATGTTTGGGTGGGGGAATGTAGCTCAGTGGTGCTGCACCTGCATCACAAGTGTAGGCTCCTGAGTTTCGATCTCCAGTACTGAAAGAAAAAAAAAGTATGCGAATGTTCCTTATATTTTACTTTGACTTTTGCTCAGGAAAATATGTTTTGTGTCCTTTAATTAATTAATTAATTATTATTATTATTTTTGATACTGGAGATCAAACTCGGGACCTTGCACTTTCAAGGCAGGTGGTGGCACCACAGAGCTAAATCCCCAGCCCCTGGTTTTATTTTTTGAGACAGGGTCTGGCCATATACTTCAGGCTGGCCCTAAACTCACTATGTTTAGCCTGGCCTCAAACTTGCAGAGATCCTCCTGCCTCAGCCTCCCGAGTGCCAGGATTATAGGTGCATGCCAACCTACCCGGCCTATAGGTTAATATGTAGAGGAGTGGAATATTTAAAGTATTGAGACATCTCCCTAAGAACATGATATATAGGCATTAATACATATTAATAGCATCTTATTTTCTATTTACCCTTACGCCTTATTTCTTTCTTTTTCCATTATTTCCCTTTTTTTGTCATGAGGGTGGGAAATAATGATTATGTTCATCATGATGGGTAGGTACATGTATATAATTCTCTGTCCATCCCCTTTCCCACTTCTCTTTTCCCCTTCCTCCATCTCTTGGTCCTCTTGCTATTTGCAAAATATCTGTTTCCTGGTGTCCTGTTATCTTTTATTTTGCTCTTCAGATTTGTACTTCAGGTTTCTCATTTAAGAGAAAGCATGCATTATTTAAGCTCGTGTGCCTGATTTATTTCACTTAACATTAACATCTTGACATGCATCCAGTTTTCTACAAATGACTCAAATGTACACTTTATGCCTGAGTAGTACTCCATTGTGTATGAAAGTACATTTGCTTTAGCCATCCATCTCTGGGTGGACATGTGAACTGCTTTTAAGATTTAGCCATTGTGAGCTATGTCGCTGTATATTTGGATTCTTTTTTTTTTGTTGTTGTTGTTTGTTTTTTGGTACTGGGGTTCAAACTCAGGACCTTGCACTTTTGAGGCAGGTGGCGGAACCACTGAGCTAAATCCCTGGCAGTCGCTGTATATTTCCATGTCCTTGTATTGCTGGATTATGATGTCTTTAGTTTTTTTTGGTTTTTAGTTTTTTTCCCAGGGATCAAACTCAGGACCTTGTGTTTGTGAGGTAGGCGGGAGAACCACTGAGCTAAGTCCCCGGCTTTGTCTATAGTTCTTTTGGGGACACACATAGAAGGGGAGCAGCTGGGTCAATGGAATTTCTACTTTTTTTTTTTTTTTGGAAATGGCCACACTCAACACCACTGTGGTTGTATTAATTTACACTCCCACCAACAATGGAGGAGGACACCTTTTCCCCCACAGCCTTGCCAGCATTTCTTGGTTTTGGAGTTTGTAATGATGGCCGTTCTTTCTGGAGGAAGATGGAATTTCAGTGTTTTAATTTGCCCTTCTCTAATGACCAGAGATGCTGAACATTTTTCATGTATATATTGCCTATCTGTACTACTTTTTCTGAGAGGTGTCCATTCACTTCAGATACCTTTTTCTCACTGGCTCTTTTGTGTTGGGGGGGGTCTAATTTTTTTGTTCTTTATATAATCTAGATACTAGTCATTTGTGGAATAGATGGAAATTTTATTTTGGGTTTTTTTTTTTTACAGAGTCTCACTATGCAGCTCAGGCTGGCCTCAAACTCCCAGTGGTCCTCCTGCCTCAGCCTCCCAAGTGCTGGGATTTGGAAAAAAATTGTTCCCATTCTGTAGGCCACTTCTTCACCCTCTTGGTTGTTTTCTTTTCTGTGTAGAAGCTTTTTAATTTGATGTGATCCCATTTGTTGATTCTTGCTGTTATTTCTTGTGCAGTTGGGGTTGTGTTCAGAAAGCCCTTGCCTACACCTCTGACTTCAAGAGTTTTACATATTTTATGTTCTAGTAGATTGTTTTAATACATGGTACCTTGGTTCACAAACTTAATTCTTTCCGTGATTCTGGTTGCAAATCGAATTGGATGACAACTGAACTAAATCTCTGCATAAGGTCAACACTGAACTTAGCCATTGAATTTGATTTGGTTCTCGTCCAGTTCAGTTTGTGACCAGAATCACAGAAAGAATTAAGTCTGTGAACCGAGGGCTTTGATGCTTTGATTTTATTTTACTGCATGGTGAGAGTTACGGGTCTAGTCTGCACACGGATAGCCAGTTTTCCCAGCACCATTTGCTAAAAAGGCCATCTTTCCTGCAGCATATGTTTTTAGCCCCTTTGTCAAAGATCAGACTGTTGAATGTGCCTGCTGTTTCTGCATCCGCCATTCTGTTTTACTGATCCACAGATCTGTTGTTGTGCTACTACCATGCTTTCCCCCTCATTACCGGGATTAAATTCAGGTCCTTGCACTTGTGAGGCAGGCTCAGCGCCACTGAGCTGCATCCCCTACCCCCATGCTTTTTAAAAATCACTGTAGCTTGAAGTCTGGGATTGTGATGTCTCCTGCTTTGCTCTTGCTGCCCAGGATTGCTTTCACTATTCTAGGTCTCTTCTGGTTCACATGAATTTTAGGATTGTTTTCTCCAGCTCTGTGAGGGAAGCTGTTAGTATTTGGACCAAGATTGCATTAAACCTACATATCAGTTTTAGAAATGTAGTCATTTGGCAATATTGGTTCCACTTACCCACTTTCAGATGTCTTCAATTTTTCTTTTTCAGAGTACTATAGTTTTTGTTATAAAGGTCTTTCACTTCCCTTGTTAGGTTAATTCCTAAGTATTTAACTTTTTTGAAGCTATTGGGAATGGTATTGTTTTCCTCATTTCTTTCTCAGATGCATTATTGGTATACAGGAACACTATTGAGTTTTTGGTGTTGCTTTTGTATCCTGCTACCTTGCTGAATTTTGTTTATTAGTTCTAAGAGTCTTTTGGTGAAATTCTTTGGGTCTTTTATGTAAAGAATCATGTCATCTGCAAAAAGAATAGTTTGACTTATTCTTTCTCTTGATTTAATGTTTTGGCTAAATTTTTGACTACTTTATTGAAAAGGAGGGAGAATGGACGTCTTTGTCTTATTGCTGATTTTAAAGCAAAGCTTTCAGGTTTTTTCCCATTCACTGTGATGTTGGCAGTGGGGTTGTTATAAATGGCTTTATCAGTTTTTTTTTCCTCATTGAGTTTATTGGTACATTTTAGGTATACAGTATAGTTGCATTCATTGTTGGGATCTTGTACCTTTACATCACAGGTGGCTTTATCAGTTTGAAGTAAGGTCCTTGTATGCCTATTTTTGTCAGAATTTTTTGTGAGTAGATTTTGGATTTTGTCAAAGGCTTTTTTTGTCATTGTTGTTTTATTTTGTTTTTTGAGACAGGGTCTCACTATGTCGTTGAGACTGCCCTGGAACTCACTATGTAGCCCAGGCTGGTCTTGAATTCACAGTGATCCCCCTGCCTTAGCCTCCCAAGTGCCACCATGCCCAGCTCGTCAAAGGCTTTTTCTGCATCTGTTGAGATGATCTTGTGATCTTTTTTCCTTGCTTCTGTTCATGTGATGGTTTACATTTATTGTTTGTGGTATGTTGAACCATCCTCACATCCCTGGTATAAAGCCTACTTGGTCACGATGCATGATCTTTTGGATGATATGTCAAATTCCATTTGCCAGCACCTTGTTGAGGACTTTTGCATTGGTGTTTATTAAAGAGATTGGCCTGAAGGTTTCTATTTTAGTTGAATTATTGTCTCACTTTGAAATGAAGTTAATGCTAGCTTCTAGGAATGATTCAGCAGTACTGCTTCCTTTTCAGTTACATGAAAGAGCTTGAGGGGTATCAGCATTGGGTCTTCCCTGAAGTTCTTTCAGGATTCAGTGGTGAATTCATCAGGCCATGGCTTTTCTTAGTTGGTAGGGCATTTATTACTGCGTCAATTTCTGGGTTATGCAGCATTTTTATATCTTCTTGGTTCATTTTGGTAATTCATGCGAATCTAGGAATCTATCATTTTCTTCTGGATTCTCCAATTTATTGGAGTACACATTTTGAAAGTACTAATAATCTGGATTTCAGTGGTATCCATTGTGATTTAGCCTTTTTTGTTTCTAAGAGCATTTTATTCCATTTTTGGTAAAATTAGATAAGGGGTTGTCTACTGTTTTGAAGGGCCAGCTCTTCAATTCAGTGATCGCATTTTTTGTCTCAATTTCATTACTCTTTGCTCCGATTGTTATAATTTCCTTCCTTGTCCTAGCATTGCATTTGGATTGTTCTTGTTTTTCTAGGACTTTGGTGTGCATCATTAGGTTATCTATTTGGTGTTGCTGTTTTTTTGATGTGGGCATTCACAGCTAGAAATATCTCCCTTTTTTTAATTTAGAATTTTATTAGTTCATGTTTGCAATACATAATGGTTACAAAAAACATAAAAATTATACTGTCAAGGTACACTTTAGATACATTGGTCATGCTGTATTATAATAATTTTCTCTCTTTTCCTGCTGTCTTTCTTTTATTTTGCAGTTTACTTATATTCAGGTTTTCTTATATAAGAGAAACCATGGTACATTTAAGCTTGGGTGTCTGATTTATTTCACTTAGCATTATGGTCACAACGTTCACCCATTTTCCACAAATGACTCAAGCTTACCCTTCATTGTGGCAGAGCTGTATGTACTCCACTGAGTGTAACACCACATTTCCTTTATCCTTTCTTCCGTGGATTGCAATAGAGGCCGCTTCCGAGATTTCGCCCTTGTGACTGTGCTGCTCTACACATGGGTGTGTGTGTGCTACTGTGGACCTAGGAGGAGGAGAGCAGGGCCAAATGGAGTTTCTAGTTTTACAAATGGAGTTTCTAGTTTTACATTTTTGGGGACTCTCCACACTGATTTTCATGATGGTCATATTAGTTTACATTCCCATTAACAATAGACAAGGGCCCCCCCCCAACATTTGTAATTAGCTGATTTCTTCATGCTGTCCATTCTTTCTGGAGTGAGATGCAACTTTGGTGTGGGTTTGAATTGCATTTCTCTAGTGGCCAGCAGTGTTGAACATTTTTTCATGGTTTTTTTTTTTCCGTTTGTACTTCTTCATCTGAGAAGTGTCTTTTCATTTCAGATGCCCAATTTTTTATTGGGTATTAAATTGGTGGGGTCTAACTTTTTTGAGCTCTTTATATATTCTAGACAACATTCCTTTGTCTGAGGAGTAGCTGGCAAAAATTTTTCCTGTTCTGTAGGTTGTCTCTTCATTCTGTTGGTGGATTCCTTTGTTGTACAAAACATTTTATTTTGATTTATGCATTTGTTTATTTGGGTTTTGAGACAGGGTCTTGCTACGTAGTTCAGGCTGGCCTTGGACTCACTACAGCCAGGCTAGCCTTGAGCTTGTGACTATCCTCCTGCCTCAGCCTCCTGAATGCTGGGATTACAGGTGTGTGCCACCATGCCTGTGCCTGGCTATTTGATTAAAAAATGCCTTTTTTTAATCACTGTAGCTTTGTAGTATAATTTGAAGTCCAGGATTGTGATGTCCCCTGCCTCACCTTTGTTGGATTGCTTTTGCTATTCTAGGTCTCTTCTGCTTTCATATGAATTTTAGATTTGTTTTCTATAGTTATGTGAAGAATGCCGTTGGTATTGTTCTTATTTTTCTAGGCCTTGAGGTGCATGATTAGGTGATTTATTTTGTTTCTGATGTGGACATTCACAGCTATAAATTTCCATCTTAGGATTGCTTTCATTGTGTCCCATAAATTCTGATGTATTGTACTGGCATTATCATGTGATTCTAGGAACTAATTTCTTCCTTAATTTTATATGTGACACATTGATTATTTAAGAGGGTATTGTTTAATTTCCATAATTTCTTTGGGGGTTTTTGGTTGTTTTTTGGTGTTTGTGTGTGTGTGTGTGTGTGTGTGTGTGTGTGTGTATGTGTACTGGGAATTGAACTCAGGACCTTGCGCTTATGAAGCAGGCTGATTTTTTTAGAGTCTCTTTTTGTTTTTGGTTTTGTTTTTTGGTACCAGGGATCGAACTCAGGCCCTTGTGCTTGCAAGGCAGGCAGCAGAACCACTGAGCCAAATCCCCATCCCTGATTTTTTTTGTTATTGATTCCTAGATTTGTTACACTCTGATCTAAGAATATGCATGAGATAATGTTAAAAATTTGTTTTGACTTTTTGAAACAGGATCTTGCTATGTAATTCAGGCTAGCCTAGAACTTACTATATAGCCCAGGCTGATTTCAAACTCATGGCATTGGGTTGAACACCCTGTAAGACACGTGTTAAGTCCATTTGTTTGAAAGTGTGGTTCAACTCTTGATATCTACGAGTTTTTGGTCTTATTGATCTGTCGATTTGAGGGTATTGAAGTCTTTCACTGCAATTGTATGGTTGTTTATCCCTTATTTATGTCCAGTAGTGTTTTTTTTTTTTTGAAACAGGGTCTCACTATGTAGTTGAGACTGACCTGGGACTCACTATGTAGCCCAGGCTGGTCTCGAACTCACAGTGATCCTCCTGCCTCAGCCTCCCGAGTGCTGGGATTATAGGCGAGCACCACCATGCCCGGCTCAGTACTATTTGTTTTATGAAGCTGGATGTACCAGTATTTGGTACATATATATTTATAATTGTTACTGCTTCCTGTTGAATTATTCTCTTGACCAATATATAGTGACCTTCTTTGCCTGATTTCATCAGTTTTGGCTTGAAATTCACTTTTTCTGATAATAAGATAACTACTTCTGCTTGGAAAAATAAATCCCAAACCCCAAAAACCCAACAAAGAAAAAAAAATGAGTTCAAACAGTTTCTTTGTATGCTTGAATGGAGTATTTCTTTCCAGAGCCTGTGGCACTGGAGTCCACCAGGTATGGGGGAAGGATGGTGGGTCACAAGTAGGGCCTGTGTTGTCTCCACACGCACTCTTTTGTGTGTGAACGCTGAGTCCTGCCCCACCTTTCCTGCTGAGCATGGCCAGTCAATGGCGTCTGCCCAGTTTCCCTGGCTTTCTGTGAGACCGGAGTCACTGCTATGGGCCCATGAGGTGCCTTCCTGTCCAGCAGCCCCTCTGTCTATACACCCCAGGCTGTGGCAAGCGTCCAGGCCGAGGTGCGTCCCTGATCATGTTGGCAGGTGGAGAAGGCAAACAGACCACTGAGCTCTGTGCTGGAAGTAGGCAGTGGGGTGGTGGAGCAGGGGCAAGCAGTCCACTGGGCGTAAGGCCAGCACTTTCAGGCCCGGCCCCTCAAAAAACAATGCTCAACAGGCCTGGCTTCTCACCGTGAAGGACAGGACCACCATGTCCTTCCTGGCCTGAGCTCACTACTGCTTAAACGTCTCAACAGGTCTATGTCTAGCCTGTGCCTGCGCCTTCTCTGCAACTGTTTCCCACTCAATCACTGCCAGAAGATGACTCCAGAAATCCTGAAGTGTAGTTCTGTGATTTCTCATTCACAGAGTAGCTCAGTCTGAAACAATTAACCCCTTCCCCAAATGTCTTCTGATGAATCACTCTCAATTAGGGGCACTGGACTGGATTTCTACTCTAGCTTGCCATGTGGAAGGAACTCCATTCAGAATAAAACCTCACACTGCTTTGGCAGTGTACCATAACCATTAACTTTTCTCAGGGCTCGTGCCGCTGGTCTCTTATTTCTCTGGGGGCTGCCAAACTTCTCTAGGCTTAGCTTGTGTTCGTGGCTATAGGCCTTCCTCCCTGGGAGCTGGGGTTGCATTCCAGCCCGCGTCTTTCTTTTCCCTATGTTTTCTTCAGTATCTTTGTGATTTCTAGTTTTCTTGTCAGTTTTTCTTAATTCCTGGCACACTTCTTCCTTTTGTCTTGCATGATGTGTCATGTCTCGTGTGTCATGAGTTCAGGCCCTGGACAAACTGATACGCTGCCAGGTTTCACACCACCATCTTCTCTCTTCTTTTTTTGAGATGGGGGGGTCTGTCTTTGTTGCCCAGGCCGGCCCAGAACACCTGGCCTAGAGTGAGCCACCTGCCTCAGGCTCTCAAGTAGTGGGAATACAGGCAATGGCCATCATGCCTGACTCCTTCCTTTTGTTGTTTTTTTTTTTAAGTCAAGCAAGTTTCATTATTTTTTTTAACCTCTTGGTTATTTGGATGTTATGTGTCTGGTTTCTGTTCTTCTAGTGGTTACCTTTAAAATCTTCACTAGCATTATTTCCCCCCAAGTTTGAGTTTTATATTGTATATGTAAAATTCTCTCCTAGAACAAGTCATAGTCATATCTTTATTTTCCCTGTTTACAACTTGTTCTTTGGCTTTTTTTTTTTTGTACCAGGGATCGAACTCAGGATCTCATGCTTGCAAGGCAGGTGGTGGAACCACTGAACTAAATTCCCGGCCCTACAGCTTGCTCTTTAAGTGATTATTTAGTCCTTGCATTTGTCAGTGGGATACATGAGTGTAGCTTAAAGCAGCGGGCAGCAAAATTATGAGAAATAGGCCAGGTAGTATTTTAGGACACATGGTTTTTGTCATAGCTAATCACTCTCACACGCAGTTATGCCCTCCTTGTAATATGAATGCAGCCATAAGCTAGAGGGAAATGATGGAGTGTGGCTATGTACTAATAAAACTTTGTTTATGGACACTGGTATTTGAATTTCAAATAATTTTCCATGTTATGAAAAATATGCCTAATTTTGATTATTTTTAATAATTTAAAAACATTAAAACCATTTCTAGCTCTGAGGCCATACAGAAATAGTCAGTGGGTTGGTGGGTGTGGTGGCATGTGCATATAATCTCAGCAGTCGGGAGGCTGAGGCAGGAGGATGGCCTCAAGTCCGAGGCCAACTGGGCTAAACAGTTCAAAGCCAGCCTGAACTACAAAGAAAGACCCTGTCTCAGAAAAAAGAAAAAAGAAAAAGAAAAAAAAAGAATTAGGCAGTGGGCTTTCAGGACATTTTTTGCCAACCCCTGGTTCAAAGTCTTCAGTACTTCTATCACTTTTATTACAATGCAATTAGTAATCCTCAGCCACTTATTACCCAGATCCACTCTGCAGAATCAACCACTTTGAAACCTTTTTAGCTCTTTGTCTTGGCAGTTCTGTAAATAACTTGTTTGTAATGCCATTTCTTTGTTTTCATATATTAGGAATTATTGGCTGCCTTCTCACAATCGAAGATGATGCTGTAGCTCTTTCACCTGCCTCTCCGTGAACAACATGCCTTTCTTCCCGGCTTTCTACTATGGTATGCGAGGGTTTCAGTCAGGGCATTTCTTAGGGTTACCGAGTGCATGGAAACACCACTCACAACTGAGAAATTGCCATGATTCCTTTTCTAATCTGTCCCAATTTTTTTGTTTTCCTAGGAATCAACACTTGTACCCCCAAGTCCGTTTTGCTGTTCTGTGGTGCTCATTGCTATTTTGGCACTTCCCCAGCTGTCTACATCTCCTGTCTGTTTGGTCAAAGAGGTCCAGCATTTTCATAGTTTTATTCCCCCGAGCTCTGTTGGAGCCCCTTCCTTTGCTACCCAGGACTGCTGCCCATCACCCTACACATGGTGTTTACCTCTACATTATCTTGATATCCCACTTTCACTTCTCTGGTTGTGGTGGTGCAGTGTCTAAAAAAAAAAGAGGTAAACTGAGTTCTTTCATGTCTGAAAATCTCTTTAAACTCACATTTAAAGCTGTAACCATAGCTCAGTGTTAGAATGCAAGTTTACCATGTAGAAGATGCTGGACTCTACCCAAGCTTCATAAAATAAAAACAAAACCTTCCTAAACTCACAATTGATGGATTGTGTATAAGTTGGAAAATCATTTATCTCTCAGAGTTTTGAAGGCACTATTTTATTGTCTTCCAATTCCTTGTGCTGATCCCGAAAAGTCTGAAGACACTCTGATTTCTGATTCATTGACTGTCACCTATTTTCTCTCCGACAGTTTTTCTCTCAGCATATTGAAGATATTATTCAACTCTCTCCTGGATTTCACTGATGATATTGAGAAGTCATCTTGCAGTCTGTCATGATTTTCAAGGTAATTGGCTTTGTCCCTCTGGCTGCTTTTAATATCTTATGTCTAGGTTTGGATCTGCTTGCTTTTCCTACTTGGGATTTCTTGGGCTTCTTGAACTTGTGAATTTATGTCTTTCATTAGTATTTGAGCGCTCTTGGGGAGTATCTCTGCAAATATTGTCACTACTCCATTGTCTTCTATCTGGAGCATAGTGATGAGATTTTTGTTAGACCATCTCATGCTATCGTCTGTATTTTTACTTCAAATTTTAAAATTTCTTTGTGCCTCTGTGCCGCATTCTGGATACTTTCTTTAGTTTTGTTTTTTTATTTATTAATACTTTCTGCAGTTATATCAAGTCTGCTACTAAATCCATATATTTGACATTTCAAAAGTTTTTTTAATTTTTGGTACCAGGGATCAAACTCATGAACTTGTGCTTGCAAGGCAAGCATGGTGCCACTGAGATAAATCCCTGGCCCTTTCAAAACTTTTTAAAATTGTGAAACCTGCCGTATGTACCTAAAGGTACAGAAAATATCAACATATGTTTTATTTTATTTATTTTTTTCCTTATTGAGTTTATTGGTACATTTTAGGTATACAGTACAGTTATATTCATTATTGGGATCTTGTACCCTTACATAACAGGTCTTGGTTCTCATTTTTTTCCCCTTGTCCCAGCCCTCCCTTCACCCCTCCTTCAACATATGTTTTAAACAATAATGAAAATATGAATACATGTTTAACTACTGTTCAGGTGAAGTACCCCAGCCACCATGTTTCCTCCCATCAAAATCTTCTCTCTTGGCCGGGTGTGGTGGCGCACGCCTGTAATCCCAGCACTCAGGAGGCTGAGGCAGGAGGATCACTGTGAGTTCGAGACCAGCCTGGGCTACATAGTGAGTTCCAGGTCAGGTCAGTCTCAACTACATAGTGAGACCCTGTCTCAAAAAACCAAAATAAATAAATAAATAAAATAAAATAAATAAAAACAAACAAAATCTCCTCTCATTCGTCCTAACAGTAACCCCTATCCTGACATTACTACACAATATTACTTAGTTTTGCTTGCGCTTGAAATTTATATAAACATGACCATATGTGATATGAATTTTTCTGTTTGGCTTCTTTCAACATTGTGCTTGTGAGATTCATTCATGTTTCCCATGGCAACTGCTCCTTTCCTTTGCTATATAGTAGTGCATTGCTGAATATTTAACAATTTACTTGTGTTTTCTGCTCTTGAGGGAAGGCAGCTATGCTAACCACTATACCACCAATGCCTCCTTCTGCTCTTGATGGGAAGGTAGTTTGCCATAGCTTGTCATAGTTACTGGGAATATAGGTGACCAGTCTGTGGGGATATTGCTGACAAATACAATAGCTGGGCCATTATGATATGCACGCCTTCTGATTTACACTCCTATCTAATGCTTTCCTGTGGGGGCTACAACAGTTTGTTCTCCCAGCAGTAATGATTGAGAGTTCCTATTGCTCCATATCCTTTCCAACACTTTTACCATTAGTCTTTCTGTCAGTTCTGCCGATCTTTTGGGTGTGTAATACTACCCCACTGTGTTTTTGAAATCGATGGATTGATCTGGGTGTGCTGGTGCACACCTGTAATCTCAGCACTTGGGAGCCTGAGACAGGAGGACCACCACAAGTTCAAGACCTGCCTGGAATATATAGTGAGACCCTGTGTCAAAAAACAAAAAAAGAAAAAAGATGGATAATTTACGTATAATCAATACACAGAACCAAGCTGTCTATTTCAATACAGTCACTTCTGACTTGCCACGAGAACATTTTCAGATGGCAAACTGTCATGAAAGTGCTTACACTTCCAGAGCAGAAACAGAAGAGACGCTGCACCTGCTCCAGTCCCACCTACCTCTTCCAGTGCTTCATCCTCCCCTCTGCCTGATTTGCCATCTTGATTTACAGGTGAGAAAACAGCCTCAGAGTGGTTTCTTGTTCAAAGTCTCAGAGTAGTAGAGGCAGGATTTGAACTGGGTTCTATTTATTTATTTTTAAAAAATTTAATTTATTGGTACATTCTAGGTAGACAGTACAGTTACATTCGTTACTGGGATCTTGTACCTTTACATGACAGGTCTTGGTTCTCATTTTTTCCCTTGTCCCCACCCTCCCTTCACCCCCTCCCCCTTCAAACACTTTAATTCCATTTTTACATTTTCTCACATTTTTTTCCTTTGAACTGGGTTCTATTTAAAGGCAGCGTTATCCCTCACCATGTGAGAGACTCATTTACAATGGAATTTTCATGTATTATTTTTGATTGGTACATGTCTGTGATACATAATACATTCATTTTGGGGAGTTGATACCCACATGTATTGCATCTTAGTCCTTTGTAATTCTTCTTGCCCTTAGCTCCCTCTCCTTTTCCTCTACCTTAGATCCCTTCCCATCTGCAAAAGGTCTACCTCTCACTTCTATTGTCTTTTATTTTGGTTTTTAAATTATTTATACACTGGGTTTCTCATATAAGAGAAACCATGTGACACTGAAGCATGTGTGTCTGGTTTATCTGACTTAACATTATGTTCTCCAGATGCATCCATTTTCCTACAAATGACTCAAGTTTATCCTTCTTTATGGCAGAGTAGTGCTCCATTGTGTCTATACACCACATTTCTTTTCTCCATTCATCTGCTGATGGACATATAGGCCCCTTCCTAGATTTAGCTCATTATGAGCTGTGCTGCTGTCAACATGGGTGTGCATGAATCACTGTGACATGTCTTTAACTCTTTGGGGAACATACTGCAGTATGTAGAAACTGAACATCTGGGTAAAACGGGATTCATAATTTTGGTGTGTTTTGGACTCTCAATACTGATTTCCATAGTGGTTGTACTAGTTTACGTTCCCACCAACAATAAAGAAAGTCTCCTTTTCCCCACCACTTAAGCAGCATTTCTTATTTTCAGAGTTTGTGATGATGGCTATTCTTTCTGGAGTAAGGCAGAATCTCAATGTTGTTTTAATTCTCATTTCTCAGCTGGGCGTGGTGGCACACTCCTGTAATCCCAGCACTTGGGAGGCTGAGGCAGGAGGATTGCCTAGATTTTGAGGCCAGCCTGGGCTACATAGTGAATTCAAAGCCAGTCTGAACTACATAGTGGGACCCTGTCTCAAAAAAGAAAATATTTAGATCTTTGATTTGTTTTTATTTTATTTTAGTACATAGTGAGAAGTATGGGTCTAGATTCAGTTACCGCATGTGAATAACCAGTTTTCCCAGCACCATTTTCTAAAGATGTTGTCTTTCTTTTAGGGAAGTAATGGCAAACCTTTTAGGGCTTTCAATGATACAAATAACGCACTGGGGCATGTGTGCCGCAGCATTGCCACCATTGCTTTAGAGTATGGTTTTGGTCCCTTTGTCAAAGATTAGAACTGCTGAATGTGTGTGGGGCTGTTCCTGCATTCTTTGTTCTGTTCCACTGATCTGTGTGTCTGCTTTGTGCCAGTACCATGCTGTTGTATCACACCTGCTTTGCAATATGACTTGAAAACTGGGATTGCGATGCCTCCTACTTTGTGCTCTTATTACGTAGGATTGCTTTTGCTATTTGGGGCTTCCTCTGGTCCCATTTAAATTATAGGATTATTTTTTTTCTCTGATGAATGCCATTGGTATTTTGATTGAGATTACATCAAATCTATGTATCAGGTGTGGAAGTATGGCCATTTTTACTATATTGGTTATATAGGAACCTATCTAGTAACAGGGAATATCTAGGATCCTAGCCTATCTAGGAACAGGGGATATCTTTCCATTTTTGATGTCCTCTTTAATCCCATTTTTCAGACTACTGTAGTTTTCATTGTAGAAGTCTTTCACTTCCTTGGTTAGGTAGATTCCTAAGGTTTTTTGTTTGTTTGTTTGTTTGGGTTTTCTTTAGTATTTATTTTGTTGAGGCTATTGTAAGTGGTATTGTTTTTCTAATTTCTTTCCCAGTGGGTTCATTGTTGGTCTAGAGGGACACTATTGATTTTCATGTGTTGATTGAGTATACTGCTGCCTTGCTGAATGTATTAGTTCTAAGAGTCTTTTGGTGGAATTTTTTGGGTCTCCTATGTAAAGGATTGTGTTATATGTGGAAAAGGATAATGTGACTTCATCCTTTCCTGTATGTATCCTTTTTATTTCTTTTTCTTGCTTGAATGCTCTGGCTAAAGTTTCTAGTACTCTATTGAATAGGAGTGATGAAAGCGGACACCCTTATCTTCTTCCTGATTTTTGAGAAGAGCTTTCCTTTTTGTCCCATCACTGTGTCAGGTTTTTTAAAATCATGAATGGATTTTGGATTTTGTGATTTTTTTTTTGTCCTCATTTCCTTTATGCGATGTGTTGCATGTATTGATTTGTGTGTGTCAAACCATCCCATCCATGTGATGAAGCCGACTTGGTCATGATGTATGGTCTTTTCAGTGACTCACTGCATTCTGTTTGCCAGTATGTTGTTGAGAATTTTTGCATCTGTACTCATAGTTCTCTTTTTTGTTAAGTCCTTGTTCAGTTTTGGTATCAGGGTAATTCTAAGCTTACAGAAAATAGTTTAGCTGTACTCCTTCCCTTTCCATTTCATTATAGTGTAAGGAGTACTGGTGTTAGATTTTCTCTGAAGTTCTTGTAGAGGGCCGGGGATTTAGCTCAATGATTTTGCTACCTACCTCTAAAGTGCAAGGACCCAAGTTCGATCCCTGGTACCAAAAAAGAAAGAAATTGGGGGTGAAGTTCTTATAGAATTCAATGGTGAATCCATCGGGTCCTGGGCTATTCTTTGTTGGTAGAGGTTTTATTGCTTGTTTGTTTTCTTCTTTATATCATTGAGAGAGTTTCTATTACTGCCTCTATTTCATTACCTATCATTTGTCTATTTAGGGTTTTTATTTCTCAGCTCACTTATATGTGTCTAGAATTTCTCTATTTCTTCTAGGTTCTCCATTTTACTGGAATGTATCTTTTTGGAGTACTTTCTTATATTCCTCTGGATTTCAGCAGTGCTGGTTGTGATTTTGCATTTTACATTTGTAATTGCATTGATATGGGTTTTGGTTGAGGGTTTTGGTACCGGGGATCGAACTCGGGACCTTGCATTTGAGAGGCAGGCCATGGAACCACTGAGCTACATCCGGGCCCCTGTGTTTTGTTTTGTAATCCACTTTACCAGTCTTTTGATTGGGGATTGAAGACTATTGACATTGAGAGTCATTATTGTAAGGTAGTTACTGAATCCTGTAATTGCATTAGTTTTCCAGTGTTAATTCCTTTGTTTTGTGTGTGTGTGTGTGTGTGTGTGTGTGTGTTTTTTTTTTAGTTTATTGGTACATTTTAGGTATACAGTACAATTACATTCATCATTGGGATCTTGTACCTTTACATGACAGGTCTTGGTTCTCATTTTTTCCCCTTGTCCCTGCCCTCCCTTCACTCCCTCCCCCCTCCCCATTTACAAACA